TTTTACAAAATTTTTTTAATAATGATGTTATTGATATTAGATAACCATTACTGATAACCAATTGTAAGAGGATAGATAAGAATGAGTGCAGGAAATCTGCTATCGCACGCGAAATGCCGGCAATAAAAAATACGATCGAAAAAGTATGTATACAGCTACTTAATCACATAATCAGAGTAAATGCGATTAAAGCCGCGACTTTGTAAAGCGCAATATAATGGGATTATATAAGAAAAGGAACTTCCCGCGGGAAGTCGCGCAAAGCTGTCTAGACGCGCGTGAAATTTTTGCACCCCGCGTATACACCTATCAATACGTACGATACATATGTATATGTATTTGTATGTATGTTTGTGTGTGTCTGTATCTATGTGCTCGGGCTCAAAGTTAATCTGGATTAACCGGTCTTGAGCTCTTCACGGTTGAAGGGAGAGTGGGGTGAAAGGGGTGGCGAGAGGCGGGACAAAAATCGAGATCAAAGAAATATACCCTCTGGAGAGGAGAGGCAAGTCCTCTTTCTCTCTCTCTCTCTGTCTATCTATCTATCTATCTTTCTCTCGGTTGCACCGAGCTTCGAGTCGCGGCGGTAGGCACATCAGAGTCGAAGCGCATTGTCGTGCGGTGCAATGGAGAACTCTATTTCTCTCTAAATCTCCTCTCTTTCTCTCTCGCCCTCTCTATTTCTGCGCGTCTCTCGCGTTGATCAACCCGGCGATTACTCCGACAACGACCACGCGCAGCTAGAGCTATATATCGCTCTGGAACAGGAATGCGAAACATTTTGAATCACACGTATAGACGTGATCTCTATAATTTGCGATAAAATTTAAGACAGAATTCTGTTTATAATTCTATACTTCTATATTTTAATGTATATATATATACGTGTATCCTGATATATATTTTAATTCGTATGTATTTCACATGTATAAATGTGTTTTCTGTAAGATACGAAATTTATAAATAGAATTCTGTTATAAATTTTGTCACAATTTATAGATCATCTAAAGAAGTCTTACTACATTAAGTATTAATTAATATAAAAATAGAAATTTATCTTTTCTTGCCAAAATCATTGAAATTATAGAAAAGATATTACCTTATATCATAGTCGAATAATTGAATGAAGAATGAATAAAAAAAAAACTGTTTTATAATATAATATATGATATTATATATATTATATAATTGACTAATAATATTATATATTATATAATTGACTAATATAAAGTAACACTTTTCACCAAATTTTTTAGAAATTTAAGAATAATTTAATTTTTTAATAATCTTCGGAAAAAATGCAAGTGTGTGCAATTTTGAAAATAAATTAAGTTACAAATAGATTTTAAGAGCATTTAAAATTAGTAGTTTTGTTTATAAAGTTGTGTCCTCTAATCTTGTGATTTTAATAAAAAATTTTTCACTTTTGAGTTAATTTATGGAATCATCTCTATATTTTTCGAATGTTAAATAAATTAAAAAATTAAAAAAAGTAAAATTTTTATATGTATTTCAAAAATCAGATATATCGAAAACATGTTGTGTTACTCACTCTCATTTATATAGATTCGTGCAAAATTTTGATTTGAAATTTGATTCAAGATATTACATTTAGCATTATATAAAAAATCGCGACAAATGATAGTTTCGCTTAAAAATTTCTTTAAAAACTCGTTTGTGTGTGTACGACTCCCATTTTTCGATTACTAGAACGTAAATGTAAATGCAGAATTACAAATACGATCGTTAACACGAGCGCTCCATGTTTCGACGACGATATCTCATGGTAAGCATGACTTATACCATTCTTATCCCAATCGCTGCGAAGCAGATGGCCGATCTCGTGCACGTCCAAGCGATTTAAACCCTCTTCTTTTTAATTATCGCTCCTTGATGGACATCATGTGAGGCGCCGCGATGCGCAGTCCGATAATGCTCAGACATAATGTGTAATAAATCACGAGGGGATGATCTTCGTACAACGTGTGATATATCGTGCTACGCTTGTTATAACAGATGTTCGACGCGATCTTCATTACGAGACGGGTGCAATGAAAAAGAAAATCCCGACTTTATTCTGTCATATTCTATCTCAAGGTCGCGAATAATCCTTTCTGTACAATCTGCAGTTGTGAAGGCTGACAAATTATTAGACCTATTTAATTTATCGAAACAATGAGCTCATCTTCATTTACAACTTGGAAATAAATTAAAATTTAAGACTTCGCATTAAGATGCATTATCAGAATATAAGTATTTTTTTTATTATAATTAAAAGACAATTTTAACGTGGGATTGAAATAATTGTTATATGTAAAACAATTTCTTTTAACTTCTACATATGTAAACACTAAGCAATATAATAATTATATATAAAGTTTACACAATGGGAAAAAAAAGAAAGTAAGAAAAAAAGCAAAATTAAAATTAGGGTTGCACAAGACTCAAGACAAGATAATATTCGTAAAAATATTGTATTGATATTGAAAATTTTTGAAACTTAGATCTTGCCTTGGTCTTGATTAAATCTTGGTAGCAAAAATCTTGTCTTGTATTGTCTCGTCTCGATCTTTTTATCAATTTTTATCTAATACTATAAAAAATTGTCTAAAATAATATTTAATACTTAATTTACTTAATTTAATATTTAATCATTATAATCATTATAATATATAATAATTTAAGATAATAATTATTATTTGTCATACGCATACAAAGAGAATCGCGTATATTTGCTGTACGCAAAGTTTTGTGTAGCTAAATAATTGTATAAAATTTTATATTGTTTATTGTTTTGATTGTTTCTAAATTTGTTAATATAGATGCCTTTATTTATTAAATAAAATTTTTTAAGTTTGTATAATATACTGATTTTTTCTCATCTAATTTAAATACAAATATACATATTTTAGCTTTTTTAAGAAATCAAAAATCTTGACAATCTTAGTCTTGGTATTGTCTTGATAACTAATTAAAAATCTTGTCTTGATCTTGCCTCGAATTTCGGGACAAGACAAGACAATATCAAGGCTGGTCTTGGTATCTCATGCAAGATACGTATATAATTGAAATAAAATAGAACATCTTCAAATATATTCTTTCGTTTTATATTACTTCTAACGATCATACTACTACTGCCATTTCCATTTAGCGCAAAATCTGTTTTTTATTCGTCGGAAACGAAGATGAAAATTCAAAGTTAACAAGGCGCGAGGATCGAACGGCCGGATTGCACGGTTGAGGATAACGATGCCGCGGGCATTTCGCGTTCCTTCACCAAACGCAGCTTCACCGACTTACAATTAGAATTCGTTTGCGTGCGCAACGCGCCGTTCTCACAATCTCATTTGGCCGGCCATTGAGGGCCGGCTTTTAATTTGCCGCCAATGATACTAAAGTCGAAAAGCGCCATCCGCTCGCAATTTCCGTCTTGAAACCATCTCGCCTCCGTTTGCCGAACAGGGAATTTTCTACAGGACGATGCACGGCTGGACCAAGAAATTTTGTTTGACATTGATATAATCACAAGTCAGACATAAGTTTTTCACATAAAAAATAAAATTCTTTTTGATCTAATAAATACATTTTGTTAATCTTGATTTTTTTTACTTAAATAAATATATACTTTGTTTCCAAAAATGTTTTGTTATATTAAATAAATTATTATTTGCATGTAATAAAAATTATAATTTCTTAAAAAAATTATTATAAATTTTAATATTAAAGGAATTATTTAAAGATAAAAAATTATTTATTAAAACCTATGTTTATAAAGAAAACCTATGTTCTCGAAACAAGCCGCCAAAAATTAAAAAATATTTTTTTAAAGGAAGTAATTTATTTTTTTTTACAATAAAGATAGAAAACAATGTTTTTTTATTTGTAAATAAAAGCATACTTTGCTTTTATTGTATATTTTATTAATTCAAATATATTTGCTTGATTGAAATAATTAATTCTTTTGCAAGCATTTAAATAAATACTTTTTTAATCAAAAAAAAGTTCTTTGGATATACTACATTTTTTTAGTGCATTTATTTAAAATTAGAACAAAAATGCAGAGATAAAACAAATTTAAACAATAAAAATCTCGGGACTCTGAAAATACGAAACAATGTTTAGTGCTTATGCAATGAAGCATTTTTCTGGTATTATTAAAAAATAAATAAATACATTAGTCTGCAACATTTTAAACAACTTTTCAGACAATGAATCACTAAATTCATTAGAGTTTAAGAGATTTGCTAAATCTTCTCATAAAGAATAATTATTATCTTCGCAAATATATACTAAAATAGTTAAAATATATATAAGTGAAGACTTAATTTCACGCCGTTTTATAATTAGAAAACTCTTATTTATATTTGAACCATTAACCAATCACGAAAATGTGTCCCTCTATCACAGTAAAAAATTTTTTTAATATCGAGAAGAACTTTTCGCGTTGAAATAATGAGCTCACCTTTGAACTCAAAACAGTACGTTAAAATATTTTCCTTTATATTTGCGTACACATAGTTTTCCGATCTAAACGTGATCATCCTGTATACATATTCTATTAAGCTTAATAATTATTTCATCCCTCTCTGGTCGCGATTAAACGCGACCACAAGTGCGAATTAAAATTACATAGCGCTCTTCCTATGTGTATCTCTCCCTTTTCTCTCCTATGATCTTTCCGCCTCTCTCCATTGTGTTTCTTTAAATGAAATTTGTTTTACAACAATGCAGTTAACGAGCTGCACGCGACTTTTTCGGTGAGAATTGATGAAAGACGGTTTCGAAAAGAGAGGTTCATAAGTAAAGCGAAAAAAGAAATGGAAAAGGTGAAAAAACGCAAATTGCACTCTAACCATTTTCCGTATCAAGCGAGTAATTTGTAGATTAGTTAAATGGAAACAAAACGCGGATAGCAAACCCAATGGATCAAGAAATGTATTATCATAAAAGTTACAATTTTCTATCTTCAAATGTAATAAAAAAAGATAAATAAGTACGCATGTATTTTCTTTTTTTTTATTTGTAATAATATATAGAGATAGAGTTTCTCCTCTGATTGTCGAAACTCAAGTGTAAAAATAATTGATTATTAAACTTTGTTTTTACACCTTGATATATGGATATATATTTGTTTCTGTTGCAGAAAATAATATATTTTTAAATATTAGACTCTCATTTTTCTCCAAATAACGAAACGGTTTTAAGTGTAATAAGTAGTTCTCATTATGAAGCTTCTGTATGAAAATAAAATGATCCGCGTCTGCAAGAAATTGTTGTAAATTAATATTTTTTGTTATTATATAAAAATAAGTTTTAAGTTATGCTTGCTAAATAAATAAGAAAGTCAAATGGTAATTATCATCTTACACATCCGATGCAGCATATCCAATGTTAGTCTGCAAATTGTTTTTGCATTGACTTTCTTCATAATCAGCATAAGAAGGACATTGTACTGCAATAAATTTTGTAGAGTGACGTTTCGATTCTGCATACAATTCGACTGATCTTTGATGACTGCAAAGATCTAATAATAACAGAATAAATGTTTAGATCAAAATTTTGATAATTTGAATCTTTGTAGATTTGTATCTATGAATTCGACATTGTAACATTGGATAATTCTTCGCTAATTAATTTTCAAAACATTCCAAACAGTGATCCATCGTAGTTGATAAATTATCTTTTTTTACAAATTTTATAAAATGTTTTAAATATCAAAATTTATTTGTAATCTATCGAGCAAAAAATGCTGATTTGTAAAGAATTAATGATGGCATATTCAGTCGCTTCGATTCTTACCGATCTTGCTTAATGGTAAGCCGATTAACTTGCAACCAGGCTGAGGGCGAGTTCCACCGTTTGCGTAAAATTCCGCTGTTCCCATACAGGTGGGAGTACCATATCCTCCCTTGTCCGTATGGATGATATCGATCCACGCCGCATCTGTGGGTGTGAGATAGCATCCGAAAAGATAGAACAAAGGATTTGCGGGGTCCAATCCTATAAACGATAATTTTATAATAATTTTAAAACAAAATGTTAAACTGCAGATTCTGGATTTACTCTTATTTTCTTATTAACGAAGACCTGATAAAAAAATCTGAATTACTTAATATCATTGATTATTGATATATGCAAAATTTATTCATAATCAAAATAAAATAAATGATATTTTAACATATCTGTATTAATAATATAATTAATATAATATATATACATGTATATGTGTGTATATATTTTAAGGATAAGAAATTATTATAAATACAATAATATGTTAGGAAACAGTTGAATAAAGGCGGAATATGTTAATAATGAGTTAAAATATCCTTAAATTTTATATATGCAGGTCTTCCATTCTAATTATCATTTAGTATTATTATTTCTACGAGTCAAAAAAATTCCAGATGCTGTAAAGATTTCAATTTTAATTCAATCACATACCTGTGATGCGAGGTATCACTAAATCGTTGCATTTACCGGCAAAACCAGCTATGTGGACACCCAAGGAGTGCGCGACAACATAAATCTTTGATATATCGAGGCCGCTATTTACAAGCAGTCGTATACTTTGTGCGAACAAAGCGCCTACTTTTTCGCCGTTTTGGAAAGCGCTCCAGTAAGTGCCCTTAGAATATTTACTCCAATCGAGTAATACAACGTTGTCCGTTCTTTCATAACAGAGCGCTGATAATGCAAAAAGTATTTTGTTGTATCTCTCTTTAATTTAATAAAGAAACTAGAATAAGAACTACAAAGAATTATAATTTTTATTGAACATAATTTTAAATTTATATAAAATATAAATAAATAAATAACAATAAATAATAATTTAATAATATAAATTTGAATTTTTTATATTTATGTTATATAAAAAATCAATACTTATTTATTTGTTAATTAATGCAAGTAAATTGAGATTCACTATAAATATAAAAATAAACAATATAATTTAATAGACATATTATATCAAAAATTATCACAATTTCTGAGACCCATTTTAGCTTTATTTAATCAATCAAAGAATATGATTTGTGATTTGATTGTGATTTTTGATAAAATATAATTTTGATGACCCATTGTATCACTTATCTGTTTTTAAATGATCTATTTGTCTATCGTAGAAATGCAATACCTTCCATCATTAACTGGACATTTGCGTCTCCTGGAGATTGTAAATATCCAAAGACGTAAAAGATTGTCCGCTTATCTTCTAACACTTTTAACATCTCTTCTGGCGCTGTGATGGGGTAGGCGATTGTTGCAGGGGTTTCGTGATTGCTATAAAGTGCGAATATTTATTTTAATTATTATTGATATAATTATTACAAGATATTTTTCCATAAATACGAACCATTTATAATAAACGAGATTGACACCAGCCGCAAAATCTGAATCCGGCTGACTACCTGTAAACAATAATATGCTCACTCTAGTACGCACTCTTAATATTCACGTAATGTTAAGAAATGTAAAAAATAGAACACGTATTTACAGACACACGAATTTCCTTGGCCGTGCATTATCTTTGTCATGAGAAATAACAGAAAATAAAGATATATAATAGGAGTTAACATTTCGAAGATATTCACAAACTGTGAAAAGTCCGTCTATATTTCTAATATGAACTCTCTACTGTGCGGATCTTTTCTGCGTGAGAGAATGACAATGTTAACGTAATATATACCAGTTCCATCTCCATATATTAGATGCAAAAGATAGATAAGCAAAGATAAATGAATAAAAAAATTTATCTCATTAATTTGTGCACATGTTAATTAATGACAGATCACATGTTAACGACAGTCGCTCATAAGTAATATAAAAAAACGCCACTTGTATTTATATAATTTTTCTTAACCTTCTTTTTGCTCTTGTTAAAATCATGCTGTATATTTATGATGTGCACGTAATGTGCACATCGAAGGCATTTGTTACAGAAAAAAATTGCATAATCCGAACAGAATTTTAAAAATATACAAGTATGAAAAGCCATGAATTATGAAAGAATTCAATATTATCCTTGATAATTTTTCATACCAATATATCACAATTTATTGCAAAATTTATTATTCAGAATGCATTATTTCACAGGACTGGAGTAATTAACATATAATTAGCGCAAATTTAACATTACTACAATGTTATTATTGTTATAATTATCCCATTTGCTTTAACTGAAATAATAAAAGGCACTAATATTAATATATAAATATGTATGTAGATCAAGTCATACTATTTTTTGCAATATTACAGAGAATATGTGTTATGAGAACATGACAAGGTATGCATTTTAAACGAGACTGATTAATAAAATAATTTATGATAATGTATGCTTAGCCTACTATTCAAATTAGTCAAATTTTGTGCAACTTGCATAAGTAGTTTTTCAAGATTATTACAATTTGTCTTAATTATGTCAATTCCGAAACAGAGTTCCGATATATATTTCCTGCTTTTTTATCTTTACAACGGAATCGGTTATAAAACTTGTTATTTTTATTCTGCCGATTATACAATACTAAGAAACATAAAAAAATGCATAAAAAAATATTTCAACTGCTACATAACAAAAAGTTTGAAAAAATAAAAAAAAGATATATACGAATTATGTGCTATCAATTCATAATAGATACTAAATAAATTGGATTTCCTTGAATTCTTCAAGCACTTTTTATATAATGTATAGTTTAAAAGAAAATTTTACGCAGATTCTCTAAATCGCATAAACGACCTTCAGACCGAAGTAAGATATAAAAACTTGGGTGCCCGTCACCCTTTTTTTTCTTATGGTCTTTCCGCCTCTCTCTGTTGCGTTTAAATGAAATTTGCTTTACAACGATGCAGTTAACGTGCAACTGCACGCGACGTTCTCGGTGAGAATCGACGCAAGGTGGCCAGCAACGGCTTCGAAAAAAAATGTTAATAAGTAAACCGAAAAAAGAAATGGAAGAAGTGAAAAAACGCAAATTGCATTCTGATCATTTTCCGTATCAAGCGAATAATTTGTAGATTAGTTAGATGGAAATAAAACGCGGATATCAAACCCAATGAACTAAGAAATCTATTATCATAAAAGTTACAAAATTTTCTATTCAAATGTAATTAAAAAAGGGTCAATAAATGCGCACGTATTTTTGTATTATTTATTTATATAGTAATACATAGAGTTTCCCTTCTGATTATCGAAATTCAAGTATAAAAATAATTGAATGTTGAACTTTGTTTTTACACCTTGATGTATGGATATATATATCTGTTTCTGTTATAGAAAATAATATATTTTTAAATATTAAACTCTTCATTTTTCTAAAAATTATAGAACAATTTTAGAATTAAGAAGTTACATAGAATTGGTTATTAAACCTGATAAAAGTATTGATATTGATCAATTTTTAAACAAATTGTAGGATAAAAAAGATGACTTAATACACATTTAGAACTTTAAATGTATAATATAGTCAGCCTATTTCTATACAATTATCTAATTATTTATAAATACATATAAGTATAATGAAATTTCTTATTATAAAGTTCCTGTATGGAAATAAAATGATCCGCGTCTGCAAGAGATTGTTGTAGATCAATATTTTTACGACAAACATTCTCTCAATATTCTAAGCTGATGTCAACGTGATATATTTATTGTCAATATTCTAATATGGACGTTAACACTCGAATTTTTAATATCTTATATTTCTCCATGTTAACTCGTGCATATTCAGATTTACACGCTACTTTATTAAAGCATCAACTGAGCATTTGCAATCATAATAGTGATACCTTTCGGGGATGTCTGCGGAATGCGTGTCGAGCATTCGCGATAGGAGGTTGACGGTCGCGTCCGTCGAGAGATGGAAACAATTTGTATCAATTATTCATGACGATCAGTGTTCGATATGAAATTATAATCGGTCGTTCGTGCGTCAGTCAGCCATATGTATAAATTGGCTCTTAGTTCCTCGCATACGTGCGCGCGGTACGTGGGCGGAAGTGCCATTTATGTATCCGAAACAAAGGCAACGTACTTGATCGCGGCAGACAGAGGAATGCAGACAACTATTTGTTTCCAATGCCGTAGTATATTCGGAGAAGTCGACACTTTTACTCATCGTAACTGTATTAGAGTGCCGTGCCTTGTATACATATTTTAAGATCATCGCGTGTAGTTATTTTTCCTCTTAACTTATTTTTCCTCTAAACTCGAAATTTTTATTTTTCATACTGTATTACAATGATGCTAATACGATAATAGTGTTACGATAATATCAATTATCAATTAGCATTTTATGCTCTTTTATACGCAGCGATAATGCTTGTCGTAGAAGGTAGAATAAAATTCACAAATGATTCTGTTAGAATTTTGAATGAAATCTAAGTATTTATTTAAATATTTAATTAACCGGGCAAAAATCGCTCGAAAGTGTTACACACACTTTGTTCTACTTTGTAAATTATACTCTTTTCTCCCGAGGACAAGAGAGAGAAAGAACGAGATGATCTTAATCGTTCAGATATACCATGACTTATTTTATGGATTCTCATGATTCTAATACGCGTTGCCTGTTAGTAATCAAAGTCTCCCTTAGCTATCATTAAGCCGGAATTAGTGGCAGTATTCCTTGCTGAGAGCGCCGAGTATATTTATGCCATGCATTCCGTATGCGGTCTCGGATTTAGCGACTGGCTGAGAAATTGCGCACAACGCGAAAAGTAATTATGACGGGTTAGTATAATCTGCGCGTATACGACTCATAATATCTTCTATCCAATTAAATACACGATTTGTACACAACACTTTGCAATTATATATAAATATTATAGTTGTGAGGAGAAAAATCACACACGTATAAATGCTCGCGTGATAAATATTGAGATACATCATTTTTATAATGTTATATTTATTGTGTAATATCTTTCATTAAAAAAAAAGCAGGTAAGACAAATACTTCGAATAATATCGAAGCTGTTGAATTATATTATCCCGAAAAAAAACCGCTAATACGCCGACGCAGGTGATTGCCCGCCGATCGTTGAGATCGTGCTGTTCTACTTCACGATCCGGCACGAAATTGGGCCTGTCATTAACATAAATGCGTGGGTGTCTTGTAAGAGATAATAGCTTCGGTGCCTGCAAATATCTTATGGTCGAAATACTAGATTATGTCACGTTTACATGCTAATTCGTCGGAATTTTTAGTCAGCAGACATTACGCAAACAATCCTATTTTTTCTCTTTATTATCTACTATATGATTATTATTATTAAATTTTGTTTTTGCATCTTGATATATGGATATATATATTTGTTTTTGTTACAGAAAATAATATATTTTTAAATATTAGACTCTCATTTTTCTCAAAATAATGAAACGGTTTTAAGTGTAACAAATAGTTTTCATTATAAAGCTCCTGTATGGAGATAAAATGATCCGCGTCTGCAAGAAATTGTTGTAGATCAAGATTTTTTGTTATTATATAAAAATAAGTTTTAAATTATGCTTGCTAAATAAATAAGAAAGTTAAATGGTAATTATCATCTTACACATTCGATGCAGCATATCCAACATAAGTCTGCCGGTTGCCTTTGCATTTATTTTCTTTATAATCAGCATAGGAAGGACACTGTACCGCAATAAATTCTGTAGGGTGACGTTTCGAGTCTGCATACAGTACGACTGATCTTTCATGACTGCAAATAGCTAATAATAATAGAATAAATGTTTAGATCAAAATTTTGGTAATTTAAATCTTTGTAGATTTGTATCTATGAATTCGATATTGTAACATTGGATAATTCTTCGCTAATTAATTTTCCAAACATTCCAAACAGTGATCCATCGTAGTTGATAAATCATCTTTTTTCAAATTTTATAAAATGTCTTAAATACCAAAATTTATTTGTAATCTATCGAGCAAAAAATGCTGATTTATAAAGAATTAATGATGGCATATTCAGTCGCTTCGATTCTTACCGGTGTTGATTAATGGTAAGCCAATTAACTTGCAACCAGGTTGAGGGCGAATACCACCGTTTACGTAAAATTCCGCTGTTCCCATAGAGGTGGCAGTGCCAATTATTCCCATGTCCGTATGAATGATATCGATCCACGCTGCATCTGTGGGCGTGAGATAGCATCCGAAAGGAAATAGCAAAGGATTTGCGGGATCCAATCCTATAAACAATAATTTTATAATGATTTCAAAACAAAATATTTTAAACTATAGATTCTTTCATGGATCTCTCTTATTTTCGTATTAACGACCTGATAAAAAATCTATGAGTTATTTAATATCATTGATTACTGATATATGCAAAAGTTATCCATAATCAAAATAAAATTAATGATGTGTTAACATATCTGTATTAATAATATAATTAATAATATAATTA